GAAATCTGAAGTTCCTTTGTTGAACAGTTTCGGAGTTATAAGCATTTTTGCATGTCCTGACACCCCCTCTTTGAAAGGAGCCCCCTCCTCAAATATGGGGTGGATCGTAAAACCGTTGGCTGTTGCAGTGTAGGTCGGAAAATTTTCATGTTGATTTGGTGCAGCCGTTTTTGTGCTACGGTTGACCAAAAATCACTGAAAAAAAAATAAATACGAAAACAATATGACTCCCACTTACACTTCGCGTGCGGGGGTCATGATAATTCAACTATGGATGCCTTTTTCCTAAACGAGTATAAACGGGCTGAAGACATGGCAGGCCATAAATTATCATAGATCCTCCCAATGCCCTCCCGCAGCTCACATGTGTATATAAACAGCAATAATGATGGCTGGATATTGTGGGTTTTTTAATCACTCAGTGTGCTGGGTGAGGAGTCCACAGAGGAAAAACTTTATAACGGTGGTGATGGAAAAAAGACATGAAAATCAGCTGTACACTCACATTCAATAGGATCACACCAGCTGCTCTTTTAACAACAGGCTTCAGACAAAAACAATTATTTTAAACAAAATAACCTGCTGAAGGCAGAGCAGTGAGGAGCTGGACCACTGTAGTGTTCCTCATGAGCAAACACACCCACAAAGTTCTAACCAATCACATGCTCTGAGCTGCAACAAGGTCCATATCGCAGTTCTGACTCGGGGCAATGAACATGACTGCTGTCACCGGGGCATAGCAGATGGAAGTTACGCAATTTTTTGACACTCAGCAGAGGGAACAAGACCTGTGACTCAAGTATAAACAAGTGCCAATACAAAAAGTCACAGAAAACACCATGCTTGGGAAAATTGGCACAGTACACATGATTTTACCCATTTTGTTACATAACTGGCCTATTTTGTTTTTAATTTGACTTAGCCAAAGTGACAGGAAGTGACATCAAAGGAGAACTCATTAATAAAATAAACTCTCTGGTTTTTATTAAAACATTTGAACTTGAACTCTTCTTCTCTCTCTTTGCTAGAGTCTTAAAATAATCTGAAGAAACATCAGATTCTTCTCTGCAGTCTGTTATTAGTTTTTGTTACAATGATCTGTTTACATGCAGACATTCCCCTTTGACATCACTTCCTGTTTCCTCACATGCAAATATTTCAACAACCGTTCATCTCAGCGGTGTGAAATTTGTTTTGCAACATGTTATCTTTCCAAAAATGCTTTCATGTTTATTACAAAAATCTGATGTCACAGGAAAGTCTTCCCTTCAGCTGTTCAGTCAGGAGGGGGGATTTCAGCTGTGGTACTGGTGCTCAGGGAACATGTTAGGAGCAGTCCACTTTCATTTTCTGACTTCCTGTCTAACAGGAAACACCAGTGAGCAAATTCTCACATTATTTGTAAAACTGTTGTAAAGTGGAATGAAAACTGTTCTTGTTTTTCAATTATGTCTCAATCACACTTTTAAAGATTATGGTTGTGACATGATAAAATGTCTAAGGTCAAGGGGTGTGAAAACCTTTTGAAGGCACTGTAATAATCAAACAGCATCATAAAGGAAACAGCAGTTTAACAAGAGTTGCTTACATGGATTATTTATTAATGTGGCCTTAAGTTTTAATCAGAAAATCTCTTTACCTACAGGAATATGATTTGTTAGTGTTTTTCCTTCTGAGCCTCATTCTAACCCTGACTGTGGTCTCTGCAGGAGAATGTGACCCTCATCACTGAAATCAATGAGCTTCGCAAAGAACTGCATTCGGTCAGGACTCAGGCTAAAACCTACAGATCTCAGCTGGTCCTTAAATCCAGGAGACGTCCCATCTCAGAGGACAGACCTAAAGAAGGACCAACACATGAAGACATAAGACAAGATCTTCCTTCAGCAGGAGCTCCAGAGCTGACTTAGTTTATTAACAGTAATCTGATTTAAAAAAAATTGCATGATAAACCTGCAGTCTGGACTGCTTACACAATGCATGCGACATTTTATTTTTAGAAAAATGTGATAAAAACTACATTAACCAACAACTATTTTTTAGACTTGTTCAGTTTAAATGAAATGTTTTAATAAAAATATACAGCTCAATTCAGTAAAGTTGTTCTTTTTTTCAGTGGTAAATTCAGAAAGATGGTCAGAAGAAGAAATGTACAAGAATATTGTGAAACAAAAAATATTCAACTTTAACTGTGAAGAAGAAAACAAAATAACAGACAAAAAGTAAAAGCATCACTTGGACATCCTCTCTAGGTTTAGGTTCAGTTCTGTGAGCTGCATCTCAATCCTCTTGTGCAGCTCTTCCATGGATGTAGAGAGGGTCTCGAACAGCAGCTACACACACACACACACACACACACACACACACACACACAGAGAGAGAGAGAGAGAGAGAGAGAGAGAACATGTGAGTCTCAGAGCAGGAAGGATCCTCCACACTGACAGGTACAAAGAGCTTTACCTGAGCCTTCTCTGTCTCTTTGCTGCACACGTCTCTCAGGCTGCTGATCTTGGTCTTCAGCTGCTGCTTCTCTGCAGAAATCTCCTGGATTTTGTTGGCCATCTC